TAGGAACCATATGAATAGTGCGAGCGCTTCTTCCCTCAGGCGGGGGGAGATTGATTGAAAAAGCATGAGCTTTCCTGCGCCCAGTTACAGTTTAAAAGAAAAGGTAACTAAAGAAAGTCTACCCCCTCTGCCTCCCTAAATATAGAAAAACAATCATAAATATATTATATACTTTATAGATCTTTATAGATTCATGCTATAGAACATTTAAAAAAAAATATATTATATATATAACTGCAAAGAAATCACTGGTCACTAAACGTCACCTGTCGCGCCCAACAAACAGCCTTGTCCATGATGCCCAACTGCTCTGCTGCATATGAGCCTGGGTTGGACCCAACAAGGCGTTTCTTTTTTTATGTAGGCATCGCTTGAACGGTTCCTTGCGGCAAGACTCAACGACAAGGGTACAAAAGGTTCTGCGTGAAAGAGGAGGTAGATGGCCCTGGGACTTCAACCAGAAAAATCATAGAGCCCTCTACCCTTGGTTTGGGGAATGGCAAACTGATCCGAGAATCACGTCAAAACCAGCTGACCGGATCCTCAAAGCATTCTCAGCAAAGCAATCACAAGGGGAAGGTCTCACATATTGTCAAACATCAACCATCGTCGGAAAACGGAAGATCTAAGTGAGCATGTCGTAGAACCAAATGCACATCCATACTTCCCACCCCCTAGCCAAATGGAGATCTTTGTTGTAGCCCGTCACGAAAGGCACCCAAATGGTATGGTCGTCCGGAACCAGGAAAGCAGTGCCCAGACGACCGCGGTGGACACCGCTAGTCCCAGACCAAAGCCTTCGGCTTAACATCCACCCAGAAAGCTCCGGCTTGTGGCCACAGCGGCTGGACAGCATGCCGTATGTCACCCCAAGGCCATGGGGGATGACCCCATCTCCATATGCCTTCCAAGCACAGAAGCAGGAGATGATGTGTCCATAGCTACAAGGAGTGTCACAGCCCTGACCATCTATACAAATGCGTATCTCAGGTAGTAAGTTGGAATGTGTGTCCATCCACACTCAATCCTTGTGACTCTGCTGATTCATTCCAACAGGCTTCAAACAAAGATGCACCTCCTCGACAAGATTTTAGACACTTGATTTGACAAGTGAATGTGTCAAGGATTGCTCAAGCTGCGGCCTTTTCAATGGCATGGGAGACGGTATGTCCATACTCAAAGATCATGCCGCAGTTCTTCTCATAAGCGTCATCCGCAAGCCTTGGATATCATTGATCATTGCTTCTTACTCCGCAGGTCATGAGGATTGTTCTTCGACACCTAATTGAATGAATAAACGGAAAAAGTACAGTAACTACTCAGCACCTGAGTTAGCCTGCTTAGCAGGGTCCAGGGAGTTGGTCCGATTTAGCCTCAGAAACGGTTCTTGGAACTTGTGGCCAAGAGACACGGACATCTTTGCATCAATGCCCAGAGCCAACAACTCCATGAGCATTTTGTCATCCATGGTGAACTCATCACCTCCACACAACTCCCACGTAGTTGTGGACTCCATGTAGTTGTCTACTCACCATTAGGACTCACATTCGGAGTTTTACAAGCCGAAAAAATCGTTTAAGCATGTTTAAGCGGCATTTACTTCATCTCAAGCCCCGGACTGGGGAGTGGCCGTGTCATGCGACGCCCACCTGAGCCACCCGCATCTGCATTGATGCGGTCAGAGGAGAGGGCCTTCCTGAAGCCCTCCGCATGCTTGCCACCCAAAAGCCTCACAAAGACAGAGACTGAGGTCGACAGTCCTTGCATGAACACCATTGAACACCTTCATGTCGACAGTCCTCTCCTAAATTTCATCAATACAATATCTGTCAGTGTTCTTGACAAGTTCGAGCTAAGCCAGGTCAAACGAATCCCAGGTCTCCAGACGCAGCATTTTTGGCCAGCTCTCCCAAGCCTGAGAAGAGCTCCGACCTGGCAAGAACGAAGTCAAGCAGACAGTGCCCCAGTATAAACACTTATAAATGAAACGTGAATGGTTTTTGCAACATATCCAAAAAAATAATGCGATTAAACGCTGTCTTTTTAGATGTGTATATAGAGATTATAGAGTGGTAATATAATTCAACATGGTGTCAAGGTCAATTCGAGATCTGGGTCCTTCAAGATCAACAAATCGTACCGTCGACCTATGGGTTTGTATTTTTGTTGACGTTCGCGGGCCGGGATGTTTGACTATTGATATGCTTTGCCTAAGTCGAACATCCCAGCCCTACATAAACTGGAGACACGTTCAAAAAGACAAACCCATATTGTCCTATCTCCCAGATGAAGCAAATCTGAGCCTGGCCAAAGTGCGGCAGAAGCCAGCGTCGATGAGGATCTTCCTGATTCCCAGGGGCGTTTTGCTATTTTTCACCCTCAAGGGGGCAGCTCGCTTGCATCCAGCTGTAGTCTACAGAAAGCTTGCCAAAAAGCACCATTCTGGGCTGATAAAGTAGAGAGATGATGTTGTTCAAGGTTTTGCTGGTTGCAGGCTCTTGATGCGAGTCTCAGAGGAGCATAGAAGGAGCCAATGTTGTTCTTTCCTCAGCTGATTGACCCTAAACTCAAAGCCGAACGGCCGAACGGTATCGCAACGTATTACAGCCAAAGATGCAGTGCTGGGGCACATTGATTGCAACTGATTTTGTCCATTGGACATGTGAAAAACAAAACACACACAGACAGACACATTCGCACTGAAAATCAGAGGCAAACCAAGCTGCGCCCCTGGTGGCCTTAGTTCAAAACGCTGATGCAAAGGTCATCCTGCTTCGTATCGGCCAAGGAAGACGCCAAACAGCTGTATGTCCCCGCTTGGGATGCTCGAAGATTAAAGGGATTTTGGCTCTGTGCATTCATGTCTGGTCACACAATGCAACTACAGGTACCGATTCTGCGTGTTTGTGCATGTTTGTGCGTCTGCATGGCCGAGGGGCAAATGGAGGTCTTCAGAGATGTGGTCACATCGTGCATGGCAAGCAACGTGGTCGGAACCTTGATCAAAGACGGTTGCTGTTGTCACTGTTGTCACACAACTTGAATCGTGGAAGCCAACAGGTAACACAGGCATGTCAAAGCATCAATTAATCAACTGTCAAAGCATGGACGCTACTAGGGGCTCCTGGCATCACTCGTTGTGTTGGGCGGTTCACAGAAAGTCTGAGTCTGTGACATAGATCAGCTTGCTGCCACGGTAAAAGATTGAAGCAAACAAGCCGGTGACATTCCTGAGAGATAAGCATGATCGTTGGCATGCAACAAACTCTCTCTCTCTCTCTCTCTCAAGTCAGTTCAAATTCGTCGACTGTAAGCAAACTTGAGGCCAGAGGGGGTGAACGAAAGCTAGCCGGGCTTCCGGTGGTCTGCTGCTGGTGCTGCTGCTGCTGGTGCTGCTGCTGCCGCTGCTGCGCTGGGCGCTGCTGCGCTGGGTGCTCTGCAGGCGCCGGGTCGTCTGCTGCTGCTGCTGCTGGCGCTGGGTGGTCTGCTGCGGCTGCTGCTGCTGCGGCGTTGGGTATGCTGCTGCTGCTGCTGCTGCTGCCGCCGCTGGGTGGTCTGCTGCTGCTGCTGGTGCTGCTGCTGCTGCTGCCGCTGCTGCGCTGGGCGCTGCTGCGCTGGGTGCTCTGCTGGCGCCGGGTCGTCTGCTGCTGCTGCTGCTGCTGCTGCTGCTGCTGCTCTGGGTCTGCTGCTTCTGCTGCTGCTGCTCCTTTGTGGTTTGCTGCAGCTGCTTGGTGGTAGACTGCAGATGCTTGGTGTGCTGCAGCTGCTTGGTGGTCCCGCTCACCGCGCGCAGGGGGGAGTCGAACCGCGGGGGGGGGGGGGTCCATAAGATTGATTTAATCAATTATTTGAGGTTTCTGAGGTGCGTCCACCCCGTCACTTAACTTGCTAAAGCAAGAGCAACTCCAGCTAGCTAAGGCTAGCTTTCGTGATTAGTCAGAAAGACAGTCTGTGTCCAATCCTGAAAAACATGGAAGCGGCAATCACGGAGTTCATTAAGTTTAGGAGATGTTATAACGTCGGAGCAAAGTCTATTGCAGGGGTGCACAATTGCATGGGACCAAACAGCTCTTGCTCAGGAGCACAATCATTGAAGCAAGTCAGCTTCCTGGCAGAAGTGTCATCCAATCTATCTTGGTGGATGTTCCATGGTCTCTCCAACTTTTGCAGGCATGGGCAAATGTTTGTGAATGCATGGAGAATCAGTCTATATTTATCCAACCCAGACATCCAAGGAGCATCAAGGCTCCTCCACCAAAGGCCTCAGTTGTATCTCAGTTCCATCCTCTTTGATGTCTTTGGAACCACTGAATTGCTGCCACCACGTGCTCTTGTCGTCGTTCTCCATTGCGTTTTGCGTCGAGTTTGTGGTGTGTTGAGTTGAACTCAGCAGTTCGCGTGAACGAAGACACAAGTCAATGGGCATGCCCTGCTATTGACATTAGTGAAGGCCCACAGGTTTTACTGTGGTCTCAGACCCTCAAAGGTGAACTTGAGTCAAGCGAGATTGCAAGAGGTTGCTAGCTGCTAGCATATGATATGCATACTAGCTCCAAGAGTAAAAGCAGGATGGATGTGAATTGGGTGACTGATGCCCTGTTGTTTTCCGTGCAAAAAGCGACATCGCATCAGCCATCGCTTCAGTATTTGTTGGGTAACTTAATTGATAAGCTTGTGTCTACTGTGTTTCCTGTCTTCGCCAACGAGTAACAACCCCGAAACACAAGGTACAAGGTTCACTGTAGTTTGCCCTTGTTTCCTGATGCAAAAAGTCTTGGAGACCAAGAAAAAAACCTAAGAGTCTTCTGTTCTAGTCTCGCGGTTTGGGGTAGGTCTGGAACTCATTGTCCATCAAGGCTATCAACTCCAGTGCCTCACCAATCTAGCATCTGAACAGTGTTTGCACTCTCATGAATGATTTTTGTTGGTTTCCGGTTTCCCAGCTAGTCCAGCCAAACTCAATGCCGTCAAAGCACAATGATCAAGGACTTTTTGGTGGAGCCGACGTTGAACGCCCACCTTTTGGCTGGGCGGATGACAGTTAAAGCCTTTCACTAACAGTCCGACAGCCTAAAGGACTAACAGTCCGTCAGGTTCACTGCTTCAGCGGCTTCAGGATGCATCTTATCGGATGCTCAGGATCTCACTCGATCAGTTGCGAGAGATAATCCCAGGACTTGGACTCATCACCTCCTGGGAGAACAAACCTCGGTGGAGGGCAGTGCATTTCGTGGCAAACGTCGGAGACAAGGGGCTTTTCGTGCTTTTGTAGGGATCTGCGATCTATAGCCAGGTGTAGACTATGTCGATGCCAGGAACAACGAACAAAGCTGAACAATGAGACTTGGGGGTTCAACTGGAAGCTGGTTCTTCTGACGTCCCTGCTTCTACTGTTTGCGCTTGGCCTTTGTGAAGTCAAAAAAAGCAGATTTGCCGGTAGAAGGCCAGTGTTTGGCTGATTGAATGCGATGTACCGGATGTATCTCAGCATCATTTGAAGTGAAGCACTCTCTACAGGAGAATCCATCGTGGGAAAATCTCAAACGCTCCCTCCATTCCCTCCACTGCCCTCCACCTGGTAGGTACACTGCCCTTCACGGCATGTCGACACGTGTCGCCCAAGGAGCTTGTTCATCGGCGGCAGCTCGCCACCCAAGAAGTTGTCTCCGGAACCACCACTCGAGCCGCCGGACTGCCAAGTGACGACGAGGGCGACTGCCACGACGAGGCCGACAGCAGGCGAAAAGAAACGAGCAAACCCAAATCTAAGACGCGTGTCCCTTGCAAAAACACCTATGTCTACAATGAAAAACAGGAGAGCCATCCAGAACCACGATCTGACAAGATCTGATGTTTTAATGGGAAATTGGCTTGAATATGCTTGAATACAATATACTATATACTGATATAATCAGAGGGAGGGAGAGTTAGCTCTTTTGTTCGACCCCACAGAATACGTTTTGCTTTTGCTGCCTTGCGTTGGCATGCATTGATGTTGATGTCGAACCAATGGTCCCATGGTGGCCACATGTGCTTTTCGTGGTCTTCCCAAATGCTGTATCGTCATGTTCTGCTATCATGGTTGTTATCGATTTGGTATTTAGTTTAATTAATGATTGCACAGGGCGTGGACAGTTGGACACTGGCAAAGGGGAAGCACTGCGGACAAACTCTGCGTACTTTTTGTTTAATCAAATCGCCCTGCATGTGTTGAGTTGGTTATTGCTTGTCTGACTCTTCTAACACGGAATCAGCCACGTTTTGCCACAAGAGATCACTGACCCCGCAATACACCCTTTCCTCAGCATGGGGGGTTCACAAAGGTCCTCAAATTGCCAGCGTTGAGGATTTCTTTGGGCTTTTGCCTCCATCAGCGGCTTGAAGTAGTCGCCATGAAGCTCATCCACAACCGTCTCCGTGACCTCGAGCTCGCTGCAACCGTCTAAAGTCTACAGCACAGACTGCAGAGTGGCCCAAACTTGCGTTCTTTGGCAAAGTCATCTCATAGTCTCAGACAGTCTCTCTGCTGCTCAAAAGAAAGGTGAAGGCGTGTGAATTGCCTTTCTGAACTTCTTGGAGACGACCTTCTAATCTGTCCCCTGTCCGGTCTGTTCAAAGGAACATGTTGAGGTTCGGATCGGGTGTAAGGCATGAAAATATGTCACGTTAACATATGAATATGTTATCTGCAGTTATCCCGTATCCATTTGTATCCTCATGATTCTCATTGGTCCTCTCCTTTCCTGTCCTTCATTCTCTCTGAGAAGCCAGGAGGATCCGGTCTGGCTTCACCTCAAGGATGCGGCCAATCACCTGTGGCCAAAGCGTTTGGGAGAACGCCAGGAGCGCGGGCTCGGCTTGTGTTCTGTATTGAGCCACAAACAAGAAAAACATGGCTTCCCATGTTTTTGCAAATATGACAGAGACAAAGAAACTGAAAGAAATTGAAAACAACAGATTCAACGAACTGGCCACTATATGTCACTATTCAGAAGGCGAGCCAGTGTGTAGGCAAAGGACTGGACTCTCAAAAGAGGATCAATTTGAAATTAATAGGCAAGCGGTTTGCATTACTGTGTTTTCCTAATTAATAGCGATGGCCTCCAACCCAATACAAGTAGCAAACCAGTAAGCTATTTCAGAAGCCTCCCAAACAATGCCAAAAACTATTCAACTTGAGTGTACGATCTCCGGATTCGAGCCATGAAAAGCTTGCAGCACGGCTTCGTTGCAGAAGCTTGGCCCCATCGAGTGCTCTAGGCATATCTTCCACCATCTTCCACCGAAACTGCCCACTTGATAATGTTAATGCTATCCTGTGTTCTTAGCTTCTGAGAATCCCAAACCCCAGCCTTTTGGACACACGGAACACACGAAGAATATCGAAGAATCAGAAAATCCCAGTGATCCCGCATCCCAGCCTCAGATTGAACGTCGACGCCCAGCCATCCCGGCACTTCAGCGCGGTCGGCGAACTTGAAGGTGATCTCCTGCGGTCGCGGTTGGGCGAGGCTTGGGGTGCAAGTCTGAGTTGGCGTAGGCCTCCCAGAGCAACCCGAAATGGAGTTTGGTTCTGCAACGTGTTTGTCGACAACGTTTGTATAATCAAGACTTGATCATACTTACTTGATCAGTCTTTCAACATCTTTCAACTCCTCCATGCTTGCAGCGCGGGACAGTATGCGGCCTGCTACGCACTAGAGGACTGCGAAGCCTGTGACCCAAGTCGAGCCCAGAAACATGCGGCGAGACAATTTGACTGCTGGTACCAAACTCCTCCGGCTCTGATTCCCTTTCTGGGTTAATCGCCAAACAAACCGTGTATCGACACCGGTGCAGAGAACATGCAGCAATGCCATGAGTGAACACTTGAAGCATGAGTTGCCATGCATCCCCTGTTCTGTAAGCTTGGTTTCCCACGAAGAGATTGTATTTTTTTCTTATATATGACCTCCCAGAAACCGATACCTAGAAAGGTCCTTGCTCGTGAAATTCATAGGGAGGTTTTGCTGATGAATCTTCATAGTGGCCGTTTGTCTTCGGTTGCGTCTAATGGAGTGTTTACCGGGCTGCCCCACGCTGAGCTGGCCTTGAAGGGGACACCTTGCGAAAAGGCAGCAGCTGAAAAGAATGGCATAGATCCATGCCAAACAAAAGCCAATCTGACAAACAAAGCCAATCAATGGGATCAAAAAGATCAAAACAACGAAGCCCCTGGACCCGGAGAGTCTCCAGAACAAGTAAGAGAGAGCTGGTGGCCACCTGTCCCCTGCAGCTCACACACAGCTGAGCAGCAATCCAGAACACTTCAGTATCAGTAGAGAAGTCCAAAAGGCCAAATGTTGTGCAAAGAGGATGAAAGAGGCAAGAACAATCACAACGCTTGCATCTTGCGAGACGCCTCCTTTTGTGAGCGATCAACCTGGAAATCCTCCTCCTCCCCACTCACCACGTTGGCCTGATCAACAAGTCTCTGCTCTGACTCTTCAATCAAGGGATTTTGCTACAAAGTCCAAACCTACTGTTCTTCCTACCCAAATTCCCAAACAACCAATTCGGGTCTTGCAAAAGATTCACGCAGATCTCACAGTCTCACAACCAGTCCTCACCAGAATGTTTTTCCCTCCCTCCTCGTAATGCTGGAGAAGTGCAAGCAAGCATCTGCATCTGCATATCTGCATGATTCTACAGGTGGGTCTTCCAAATCTTCTGAGTGATGCCAGGTCAACGCCAATATGCGACTTTGGCTCCCAGTTTGCCAGTTCACCAAAAGGTCAGAAGAGAGGAAGAAGAGCAGATGGTGGGTGAGTTCAGGCTCTATGACACTATGATGTCTCATGGTGTTCGGAGGGATGGGTACAATAAAGTTTTAAGTAAACAACTCTTCCAGCACGTGAAGCAAAGAGTTGCCATATGGTTTCCATTACTGTCTTCTCTTGGTGCAAAGAAAAACACAATTGATCCGTGCTTCCCTTGCTGATATTGGATTGGCCTTCGTGCTTGCCCGTTGGTCCGGCGTCGCCTCCCAAGTACTTTGTTTGTTTCAACGGTTTACATGAACAGCCTGACAAAGCGCCAACAGATTGCACAAAGCAATGCGATGTTTGCCCACTTGCATCAAATGACTGATATCAAGCAGTTACCTGCTGCTAAAAATTCAATCATCTGCTTTGGTGTTGCTTGCGCCTCAATGAACTGTACAAATACAAATCATCAAGAATCTTGAACTTCGGACGTTTGATAGTGTTGGTGCGGTGAACACACCAAATTCATCGGAATAATGTTTTTGTCTTGCTGCATCAGCCTCAAAGCTTAGGAGTTTGGAATCGGACGGGAGCTTGTCAAGCTTCTCACCACTTCCTCCAGAGGATCCAAACCAGTTCGTGGCACTGGCACTGGTACTGTAACTAGTAGTAAAGCACGGTATCGAGCTGGGTTTCGTAGCCAAAATATGTGTTCAACATGAAAATGGATGGCTGGCACTGCGACAGAAAGCACCCTGAGGTCACTTGATGTTCCACTGTCATGAAATCTCCAAACTGCCATGCTCATTCTGAATAAACAGTCCGTCAATAATATTTTGATAGAATATAGTTATATCGTATAATATTGATTGTTTACATTTTTGTCATAATCGTAATCTAATATAGTTTTATCTGTTTGTCGTCAAAATTATCGTTTCCTTTCTGCACCTCGTCCACAGTCCAGTGACAAAACCTGAAGTAGACAGACATGTGGGACCCGCACTCGTTGATACGAAATACGGGAGCAAGGATGTGTCCTTTCAGAGTAGTTGGGCAGGGACGAGCATTTGCTTGCAGCAGATTATAAAACACCAAACAACTGTCATTTCAGGACATGGATTCATGACCCTACTTGAAGCCCCAAGAGAAATACATCGTATATCAATGTATATCACGGTACTCAGTACTCAATGAAAAGCTACAATCTTTTGAAGACTCAATTTGGATGGGCCGTGTTGAAGTTGAGCCCCCCAAATAGCGAGCTCAGCTACCAGCCTTTCGTGGTGGAGTAGAAATTTGACCCTGCCGACACAGGCGAAGACATGCCGCTTCGCATAATTTCTTGTAGGCTGTCTTTCCCATATGTGGCAAAGAATCACGAAGCGGACAAGCCCCATGAATAGTCGCTGTCATCACAAAAACAGTGACAAAAACATATCCAGGAGGTGTCGCTTAACTTATATACATAAGTACTATCCATACATATGTGCACACACACATATATATATATGCAAATATCGGGCCCACCGCTTTTGCCTACATTTGGCATGGCTTACAGAAATCAAGCGCACTCTGCCACCTTTTCCACCAGTCACTGGTTGACACATTGGCCACTTTGGACCGCGTCCGGCGCCGGCGCAGCGGCTAGCATGCGCAGCGGCCAGGAAGCGACGGCGCAGCGGTGCGGTGCAGTGGCAGGGCGCCGGGCGCAGCGGCCAAGGAAGCGCCAGGCAAAAGCGACGCCTCAGATCGATGATCGGGACTGTTGTTCCCTGGTCAAACCGAACTGGGCAAACCAGTTGAACATGTGCGTAGCAAGTCTTTTTCCATCAACCAAGAACTGCCAAGAACTTGACAGGAAACGGGAAAGTATTCAAGACTTGGTGAACGTGAGTCGACAAAGAGAAAAAAGATCAAATCTAAGGCGGCTGCGACTCCTCACAGACATCACAATGAGCAGTTTCAACCCAGGAGGTGGAGGTAATCTGCAATGGCCCATTGCAGGAGCAATGGAACTCGTTGAAAATGGTCTGCGCACCGCGCACGAGGAGAAGCGCGACGACGCCGCGCCAACGAAGTCTCATGATGGTGAGCGACGAAGTCAAGCAGTGAACTCGCCCACTCCTTTTCTGAACCAACCGCACGCGTAGTGCTCCACCATGAGCAGTTCAGTGGTGAGCGGACTCGCATTTGCTTCATTTCTTACGCTCCGAGCCCCAGCCCCCAATTTGAAAGAAACCCAAAAGCATTAAGCAAACATGTTACTACTAGTAGTGCCCTTGTTACTAGTAGCGATGCCCTTGCTACTGGTAGCAATGCCTTTGTTACTAGTAGCCTGTTGCTACTAGTAGTGATGCCCTCGGTACTAGTAGCTTCTAAAAATGTTCCCCTGGGTTGTATAGCTTGTTCATCTAAGGTAAGATAGTAACGCCGGGCGCAGCGGCCAAGGAAGCGCCAGGCAAAAGCGACACCTCAGAACGATGATCCAGACAGTTGCATTCTTCACCAGCAGCCATTCGTTCGAATTGTAAACCGAATGGGCAAATTGGTTGAACATGCGCAAGTCTTTTTTGCGTCAGCCAAGAACTGCCAAGAATTTGAGGGAAACGGGAACATACGATCACTGTTTCAGTCGTGAGAGGACTCGCATTTGCTTCAAATCTTACGCAAAGAAACCCAAAAGCACTAAGCAAACATGTTTCTACTGGAAGTGCCCTTGTTACTAATAGCGATGCCCTTGCTACTGGTGGTAGCGATGCCCTTGTTACTAGTAGCTTCTTGACGGCTTCTTGTTACTAGTAGTAATGCCCTCGGTACTAGTAGCTTCTAAACATCGAGCGCCGCTCCGGAAGCGCCGTCGCAGTTGATTTGAGAGTCAGGAAGACAGCCAAAGAATTGTTTAGTTGACCTCAATTTGAGGGGATTCAACTTTTATGTTTTTTATGATTGTTGACAACCTTTTATGGATTCAACACATCAGAGCAAGCAAAAGTCATCAAGAAGTTTCATAACATGTTGGTTTAAAACCGTAAAAACCTTAATTAAAAGAAAAAACATGAAATGTGTTGATTTGTTGTGATTATTACGATTTGTTGAGTCCAAAAAAAGAATTAAGTCGGTTTTTATAAAATTATGAACGCTTCATGATGTCTATGACAAATTTATTGAAGTATGATTTTTACGATTTGATGGGTCCATGAAAAAACATAACTGGTTTTAAACATGTAAAGTTTCTTAAGACTTTCTTAAAATAATACCAGTTTTTGGTTCATAAACGCTTTTCATATAATCAGTTTGAAAACCCTATTTTTTTGCCTCTTGCCAACTCTCAACAGTTGATGCCACCACCGGCAGTTCTGATGGCAGATCTGCTGCCGGAGTGGTGATTGGACGCAATTCGCATCCACTATCAGTTGGCTAAACAAAATGAAAAATGGTGACTGGTAAGCTGCTCGAAGTTAGCTAGGCCATTCATCATCAGATGGATTGTTCGTGATGTGACTTTAAAAATTACACAACACAATAAGGTGTTGGGAGTTCTCCTTGGGCTGATTTCGATATTTTGGTGACGACTCGTGAACTCGTGAATTCCCTCGCCCCAAGCTCTCCATGAATGCCATGAGACTTGATCAACCCACTGAGTATGGGTCCAAAACAATCAATGGTGGGCTGGGTGGTGAAGCGAACCCAACGGCCCTACTTTGATGCAGCGCACCCGCTGAAAAAAAGGTGTACCCGCTGGCGTTGGAGGGAATTGGGAGCAGCTCCTACTTGGGGTTGAGCGACCTGGACCAGGCAGGGACCTGGAAAAAAGACAGTGCACCATTTTTTCAACGCCCCGCCCCCCCTGCTTTGATGGAAAAACGCAAGATCGGTACTTTGCAGTTTTTTAAAACTAAAATACAGCTTTTGGAGAACCCGATACTATATATATATATATATGTATATTATGTTATATTAACTATATATATATAATACGAATATTAATATTATCGTAAATCCTACAGTAAATATTATCACATCAGTTGCATTGCAAGTTCCTTTGTAGGATGAAATGCACGACCACTGTTTCTGCTAGGGTAAGTGCCGGGTGCCTCCCGTTCGTTGGAGCCTCCAAGACAACTTACCACGTTATTCGTGAGCCTGTAAGATATTGGTCAAACACCTGGTGGGCGGAGGATCTCGGCCTTCAGGAACGTCTGTGGTGGAGTGGCATCACAGGTCCTCCACATGCAGAACAGGTCCCTTGAGGTCCCAACACAACTTGCCAGCATGGCTTGCAGAATTGAGCTACTGGGCAGCACGGGGATTGTAAGAATGAACTGTGTTGAGGGTACCCTACTGTTGCCATGGCATTCATGACGTGGGTCATGAGGTTCATTGTTCATACAAAGAATCAGGGAGAAGCCAGCGCGACTCCCAGTCTCCTGCCAGCCTGGAGCACCTCCTGATATCAAATTTTGGGACGGACTCGAAAGAAAGGACCTTCTTCGTTGACGGTTGCGGTACGTATGTTACAGCACTGAACCTGCCTGCCATCCGAGCACAATCTGGTACAGCCAGGTATGACTGGGAATGTCTGACTGGCGTTCCTCGGATGAATGGACCGTGTGGAGGGAGACACCTGTCGAGGATATGGACAGTCCTCATTCATGCTCATTCGCTTTCTGTCTTGCGAATGGTCCAACCATCACGACCATTCGAAGTATTTCCAGTCTCAGCCCGGGGTCCCTGACCCGATGCCTCAGGCGTTGAGGACGGCGTTCGCGTTGAGGGCGTTGGCTTCTGAGGAGAGATCCTCGATGCGTGTGGTGTCTGGACGACGTGGAGACCTCACGAGCCGATCCTTTGGCAATGGTTGAGGACCAGGATACAGCTCATACTGTGCCGAAGGTTCAATTGTGAACTGTGAACCCCCTTTGTAGCCATCCGTGGCTATAAACGTTCGTCAGATCGCCGAATATGCCAAATGATAATGCCTGATGCCGCATGAATGACCGGCTCTTTGCATCTCTTGGGTGATCAGCACATACCCGAAAATATTGCTCTTCCTGATGTTGTATGCAGCTGTTTTTCGATCTTGGCACTAGGACACCCAGCCAGACAGGCAGAAATGCCATGACAACACAGGCCAACAACTAAGGCTCCACGCGCCGTGATGGCAAGACGTGCCGGGCTCGGGGTGTTCAGCCCTGGCAAAATGTTGCTGTGATGGTATGGTTGCTCATGTGCAATGGCACCACTTGTGGCCAGTACCCTGTCGTTGCTGTTTGAAATATTCATACCTGACGAAAATAGAGGCAAAACAATGCTGCGGAGTATGATCGTAATTGCCCCAACACCAACTGTACACTGCAAGACATCCCAGCCTGATCGACTGGGAAAAGCCTCTGAGAGAAGGGCCTCAAGTTGAGACATCTCACCTGCTGCGTACTGGTCTTTCCCACTCCAGATGTGCTTTTTCCAATGAAAGGATGTCAACTTTCACGGCAGGGTTGGTCCATAGCGCAAGGTGCATCATTAGGGCAGGACAGGTCCATCAACTTGAAAATAGCGCTTGAAGGGACACCAAGTCCCGGAGTCACCTAGCTACTAGCTCACGCAACTCAGAGACATTGCTTGATGACTGGACTCCTGGCTCAATTCAGGCAAAGCATGCCTACACACACCCAGACTTCTTCTCTACGTATAATTGTATATGTCCTTACCGTTACCTCTCAATTGGTATCAGATTTCGGAGTACTGGGAATCGGTGCCCTTAGTCATATCTCGTTCTTCAACTACCTGAACGAGCTTGTCCGCCTGCACCTGGTCCGGCTCCGGCGCCTTCTGACCTGCCATGAATGCTTGCATGAGCTCTGCGAGAGACAAGCGTACCAAACTACAGACTGAAACAAGTCTTGAGGCTCACCAATAAGTAAGGGGATGCCAGCAAACCAGGACTACAAAGTTTGGTCGTGAAGAAGATGAAGAATAAAACGCTGCTACTACTTGATGCTGCAATAAAGTAGGTTCAAGACGTATGATGGAATTCCTTTGATTGCGTCTTGGGGCCGCTCCCGCTGGGATGGGCAAGGACTAATGAAATTGTGGCAGTAAACAAATATATTCAAATATATTCAAATATATAATATATATATATAATATTACTACTATATCATATTAGAGAGAGAGAGTTGCTCAACAATTCTAAACCCCCTCCATCAAATTGAGAGCTCCTCCATTTTTTGGTCCAGAGGTCTCAACGAATCAATATCAAGTACAGTACATAAACCCAACACCAGGACTTCGGCATGACTAATCCAAGGCCCCTAAAACTCCCATCCATGCATAATAGTTTTGGATCATTCATACCTTGAGTGGACACAACCACTCAGGACACCACCACACCTGACTCACAATTTCAAGCAGTTGTTACCCGAGCCCTTCTGGGCACCGATACCTCAAAAGTTGGGAAGTACTGAAGAGGAAAGCAAACTTTTGCGCTGTTCAAGGCCATGAACTCAGGAAGGCAAGTCTGGTACAGGATCCAGTTTGGAGGACCCCAAGGGAGAGTGAGCAATAGGCATCCACTATCTTGTGCAGTAAATCTTATATAACCAGTCGCCGCCTCCCTCACATTTGTTCTGCATCGACGACAGTCCGGTCGACAGTATATAGATGGAACATTGTTTGCTTTGATTTATCTCCTTGGCTCCTCCAGCATAGATGCTGAGTGGAAGTGTCGGCACATCAAAACTCAAGAAAAGACTCGGGTTTATTCGCCGAGGCAAGGTGTTGGATTTCGTGGATTTGTGAGTCTAATAACAGCGAGCCGATTGCATTTCAACACCATACACAACATGACTGTTCAGAGCTTGAGACGTTTTGCGAAGATGCGTAGGAGTCTCTGAATCGGTTTACTGAACCAGTTCCCCACATCCATTTCCAGGTGTTCTGGACACCGATTCCCTTTTTCACCAATGGCGCTTGGTGCGTACGTCCTGCAGTCCTTCCCCCTCGGCCTTTTGGCCTCTTGGAGAGCCTTCCGTACACGGTCCTCTATCCGGATGCGGCACCGTTGGTGAGGACCGAAGAAGCGAAAAGCACGATGTGGAACTGTGATCAACCCCTGATCAACCCCTTTGCCACCCCTGGCTGTTTGTGGGTCTAACTAAACTATACTAGGCTCCACACTGGAGACGCCAGGCATGATGAGGCGCACACGCGTAAGTGTACAAGCCAAATTGTTTGAAAAACCCCTAAGAATAAATTGAAATTCCCAGCATAAGCTTGACCCGTTGCAACATATCTACAGCATCTATTGTTCCATTCCAAAAGAAATGCTTCCAGCATCTTCCAGCAAATGTATGAAGAAAAAATCTAGCCATCCCCTAGAAAGCATGTAATTCAAGAAATGTATAAACCGCCCTCATTTAAGAACATCAAACATGAAGCCGTATGAATCCAACAAATTAAACATGTTCCAAGAAATCAAACAATGGAGACCACGAAGTCTACAGCATACCTTGAGGCCTCTCCTCACCCCTGAATAAAAAGCCGGGTCCAGTGGGTGATCAAAATTCCATGACAACCTGTGACAACCACTGATGGAGCGAAGTGAGCATCTCGGACTCCTTGGGCATCTGCAAGGTCATGGAGACCAATTGCAGTTGTCGTTGACCACTCACCGCATTGAGAAGCTCTAGCGCTGCGTTGCGCAACCGGCAGCGAGGCTCCTGCAGGAAAATACGAGCCCAGCTGTAACAACTGTCATGACCCTCGAACATCTGCAAGTGAAAAGGAACAATATCTTCTTTGCCCGTCCTGATGAATGTGGTTTTACGTCTTTTCCTCAAGAGTTGTTTGAAGCTCTCCAAGCATTCTGGCTTAGTGGCAGAAACATCGCTTCCCCAAGAGGGAGCGCTTCAACGCCCATGCACACCCTCCACCCGGTCCCGCAGCCGCTGTCGCAAGGCATTGGCCAGGCGGCTGACGAGGTGCTCCTCGCCGGTTTGATTGATTGGAATATTCCTGACCACACACACACACTGCGTACCAGAGGGGCAAGTCTGAGCCAAAACAACTGGCATGCATAAAGCTACCCACATTTAACCTTCCCTGCCTTCTGGATGATCATTATTAGTACAACTACACAGTACGCATCTGCACACCAACAAATCATGGTGTTTGGCAGTCCCGTGGTGGCGACATCTGTGGTGCCAAGCAGGCCAAGCAATGCATAGCAGCTGCAGAAACAGCAGGATGGTCATCCTCGACCTGTGTTCTGCAGGTGGGGGCAGGCTGGTGGGAGGACATTCCAGTATTTTGGCATTGTATGCATGCGTACAGTGTGTGTGTGTGTACGAATCAGATACTTTGCATTCGTACTAAGCACAGATTAGTGATGATTCGTGTATTAGTCTATTACCCTGTGTACTGTGCGCACGAATTCACCTGGTCAGAGTCGGAGGAAAAAGACGGCCGGATCGAGACGCGACGCCTTCGCCTGGCCTGGAGGAGAAGCTGTGGCCAAAGACCCCCGAGGCCTTCTCCTGGGACAGCGGAGAAGTAGAAAAGGAATGTGAAAAACATGAAACACCAGTTTCCTGCAACGTGAAGAAGCCGCTTTTTGGGCTTCCAACCGCTTCCCTTTCAAATGCCTCAGGATTCGTTTGGGCTCCATGTTCCATCCCATTCCGGCTTGCGTCGGTTTCTTTTCGCGGGCTCGCCGCCTTCTCGCTGCTCCGCCAGGTGTTCCAAGCATCGTACCCGTTGGCGCCAGGTCTTCGGCTCATTGGCCCACAGGGCGTCGCTGCGACAGGGCCGCGAGCCGGGCCTTGGGTTGGTGCCACGGTGCCACAGCAGAGTCATCATGAGTGTGATGGTATCTGTGATGAGCTCAAGCAGAAGCATGTGATTGAGTGAACTTGTGTAATTAGTTAGTTGGTAGAACTGCGGATCAATTGAGGGCCATTGCCATTGCTTGGATGTTTCTTGACAGATAGGCAAGAAAGAGTGCTCTGATTTAGGCACCTAGGCAAACATGCTTGGACACCAGCTGTTCCCAAAATTATAGCAAGCCCTTTTGGTTGTGGCACATGGTGGCATCTTTTGATGGCCCAAGATTTTGGCCAAGTGGCGATGTCAGAGATGGGCTTGATGGTGTTTCGTGCACTGCATCCTGCAAGAATCAAGGATCCCGGCACTACAACTTTCTTAACACCGGCATGAGACCCAGCAGCTTGTCATCGCGCAGGCGAGTATAGAGCCAGCTGCCACATGTTATCAGCCAGCTTGCTAGGTCCGGGTGGCAAGTAAAGTAGGTAGTCAGTAAGCCAGACTGTGAGGGAACTGGCACGTGGGTCCAGAAGAACTGTGCAATTTGCAGAACCTGGCAAGAGAATGACCTGTTCCAACAACCTCTCTCCTCCACCACCACCTGCAACTCCTGCTCATCTGAGACCTAGCAATCAAATGTGCTTACTGAATGGGTGAGATTGGGTGAGGTCCAACAATTGTCCACAACCAACGAAAGTGGAACGTGATGATGCTCAGGGTGCGTTGGTTATGTTCATGTTTATAGTAATCTCAACTGCGAGGACGATCATGATTGGCTGAAACAATAGCAATAGTCGACACGTATAGACCGTATAGATAAACATTAACCTTTTTTGTCGCAGCACTCCTTGAAGTGGCACCAGGTCGGACCTGGGTATTCTACCCATAGGTGCAGCTGTTCACTCAAGTAGCCCAGTCATTCAGCTTGATTTGTCAAGGCAAACCACCCACACTTTTAGGTCTCGCCAAGTGGCTGCTTGTGCCATCACCTGGTAATCCTCTGGCTGGAGTACATCCTTGGAAGAGGTCAGGTGTGAGATACATGGCCTTAAATCTCACATGTTCAGAGCAACGAAAGAGCAAAAGCTTATATACAAAAAGAATTTGGCCATAGCTACTACTGTTTTCTAGCTTAGGCAATAATGCTGACCGTCTCCCTTTGGGAATCCAAAGGATTTGAGCTACTTTGAACTTCTTGAGCCCTGTTTCTATATTACATTACAAGATGTGCCTGTGCCCACAACCGCAGACACAAACAGCCCAGTTGGGATGCACTAATATATGCTCAGTCACCGAGTAGACGTGGAATCAAAAGATTGACAATCTTTCCAACACCCAGTGCAACGCACGTGGAAAAAGACAAGAACAGCGTTCTGATCATGACGTCTGTGACCGACCACTGGTCTGGCCCTGTCTGGCCCATCCTGTGCAAGGCCACCACACCTTGCATGCCGCAAGCAACTGCCCTTTGGCTCGCAGCTCCAGGAGAGCAAAGCGACGGAAGAACTGCCGTGCCACGACACAAAGTGCAAAACCACTTTGCAGAAGTGCAGGATTTATCAGGACTTGACAAAGGAAGTACTGGTGGGAGAAGGTCTTTCTGGTAGTGCATAATCCCCAAGGCAATGATGGTCATCGCACCAAAACCCATAAGGGTAGAGAAACTGGGAGTTACCTTGAGAAACTGGGAGTTACCTTGAGTTACCTTATCCAACCTTTAGGGTTCATTGCGGTTTTGGGGGGAAAGCTTCACGTTGCTTTTGTGGCACCGTGACGCCCCAGTTCCCTCCAAAAAGTGACAGATGTTGCCTCGGGTGACAGGGCGACCAAATGACGAGCATCTGTTCATCTGTTTCACAGTTTCTAACTCTGGCGATAGGATTAACACATGGCTTAAGTTTCACTAAAAATCTAGAAACCAGATCATTAGTGCGAGCTCTTCTTCACGGAAGCTGGGGAGCTTCCTTGAAGAAGCGTCAGCTATCCTGCGTCCTGTCAATAGTAGCTGCTTAAGCTACTAGCTACCTCTTCTACTAGCTAGCTAGCCACTACCTCTAGCGGCTTACCCCCCCAAAAAGAGATAGCTGGGGACTGTGGAATCAAGTACACGTTTTTCTTGTTTCTCATATGTTTCTACCTCATGACATGTTTGCAATGATACAAATTTATCTACCATATCTTCTTTCAGTGATACTATCTATATCTGGTGCAACTTACAGTAGTCTGTCAAAGGACCTATATGACAAGCCTGCTAATGGTATTTTGATGTACTACGTTTCAAATAAACTTTGAGTACAGTGCGCTGTGAGTGTGCAGTTTGTTCTTGTGTCTCATATGTTTCTACCTCATTCCATTTTGCATTGATACAAATTTATCTACCATATCTTATTTCATTGATATTAAATTATACCTGTTGTTGTATTTTACAATGGTCTATCAAAGGACCTACTGTATATGACAATATCTTTTATGATATTTTGATGTACTATGTGCCTAATAAACTTAGAGTGCACGGCGCTGTGAGTGTGCACCTTTTTCTTGTTTCTCATATGCTTCTACCTTGTGTCATGTGATAGAAATGTAAATGAAGCAGCTCAACTGGTGAATGATTATGCTTTGCAGTTTTGCAGTTTCATGTTTAGTGTATGTGTGTTTTAAAAGTAGTTATATCATGTAAGCACGGTTTAACAATATCTTCATGCACTGGTAAAGTAAAGCAAGTCAGAGAGGTATATGCGCTTTCTATTAGTAGTGTTGTTAGGAATATTGTATTGCATTTTAGTAGTAAGCTTGTAAACGTATAACTTGTATCTCTGTTTAAGAAACAAAAATACAACCTCCAAAGAACCTTCCTCAAATAACCATATCGAATAACATTCTTGAAATTTGTAAATTTTGCATTGTGTTGGTTCCATGCTTCTTTCGAGTTATTGTTCATTATACTACATGTTCAACAACATGCCACATTTTTAACTGCTCTTCTGTCAGGCCTGTAGGGTCATTATGTATATAGTATGTCCATTGTTCCGACCCACCTATATACCACAAACTACTTCACAATGTCACTTGAACGTATTGAAAACACTTGTTCATTGTTGACCCTTGCGCTGTGAAATATGTTGCTATGTTTGCGTTACTCATATTCTATGTCAGGCCAAAACCGGAGCAATTACATGGGTATTTAATTTTGGTTAATGAACCATTGAGTATCATTGTAGCCTTCTATAGCAAAAAAAAAACCTTCAATGTCTAAGGGGCAAATCCTGAGACATTGATGTCTTTTTTAGTGACTATGTCACACGGACAGCAAATGCAAAGCAAATAGCCATGCTGAAGCCTTCTTGCCAAAACCAAAAAGGCAAAGAAACACAAAGAAAAAAGTAAAAGACAGAACAGCCAAACCAATGGAAGTATGTGTAGCAAAAGCTATTGGGTTATATAATAGTTTTGGATGGTTTTTGATTTTTTGGATTGTGGTTTTTGACTGCAGTGCAGTGCAGAGATTCAGATGTTATGATTGCGGTTGAGTGCAGCGCATAAAATAAGACAACATGAGAAAACGTGTACTACCGTGGTCCCCTGTTCTGTAAAAAAGGTTCGTCATCTGTTTGACAGTTTATAACTCTGGCGATCCCAAACACCCTTTGATATGCGTTGGACAGCAGTTGCCCGATGCAATTGCCGCCTCATGTTCTGCATCTGCTTGAAGCCCATCGCCAACGGCACGGCGATCTGCAGTCCTTTCGCAACGAACCCTGGGGCGATCTGCCCAACCGGCAGAGCAGTAGGAATTCTAGAGGGTCAACATTGAAGGGCCGGACGGAGCCTTCCTGATCCCAATTGTAAAGAACTTTTCTATGGCATGGTGCTGACTATCAAACTGAAACAATCCGTTTTTACTAGCCGGTCCACCACTTCTTTGGGGAAAGTCACCCGGAAGTCATTGAATTCACCTCGCTTCAATATTGACAGGATCACCCCGGTATGAGACGCGCCTCGTCGGTGCAGCCAGCAGAACTGCTGCGACCAGCTTTGCAGCCTCCAACACTATCCAACGCGGCCTAATCAGAATCTAGAACCAATTGATCTAACATATACAAAATTTAACTAATATGACGCATACAGTGAAAACATCGTTTTTTGACTATGTTGTCGCAAACATACACAAACATCCTCTTGCTCAATGTGGCGAAATGATTTCATCGTTGCAGTCAAAGACTCCCATGTGAGGGGTTCGGGTATTGCACTTCACACCATCACTTTCATTTTCATTGGCATCATTGGGGACAAGTTGTATCATACGTTGCGCCAAAGAGTGCCTTAGACTGGAAGACCTTCATTGAATAATTGTCGTTAAGTCGCCTTAAATCCGGAATCCTGGAATTCAAGGCCTCACAGCGTAGCCTGATCTAAATCGATATGACAGTCTGCATACTCTAAACGAGCCCCCGATGAAGTCATCGAGTTGGGCAAGTTGGATCAGACCGCAAATGAGTTTGAGATCACAAAACATGTCAAATGCCGCAATGTTGATTTTTGCAACTTTCCAAAAGGGCATCTCTAAACATGTACATGTTTGACAAATATTGTCAAACCATGTCTTATTATGTCTTATTTCAGTTTTACATGATGCTGGTCTGTAGTGCTTGTCAAGCATATCAAGTATGCAGTGGCATCCTCATTGTGCAAGGAGGAGTAGCTACATCTGAATCTGGGGCTTCAAAATTCTGACTCGTGATATTTATGCATTCTTCAAGAAAGCATTCTCGTGGAAGGAAAGGACCTCCCTAGCTCCGATGATTCTTGCCCTGCCCTCCTCCCCTCTCAAGCCTCATGCGCCACCTTCTCTGTTGTGCCTTTGAGGCGTTCAGCCAAGGTCGGAAGCCAGTAGCATGGCACAGGCGGCACAAACACCTGCCCCTCTTTCTGCACGCCTGCGACAATAGAAAAAGGAGCCAATGTGTGGCGCAATAGGATTGGGTTGTGTTGAAATGCGAGCAAAGCCGTGCTCATTTCCTTGTAGTCCTCCTTGACCACTCTATTTGGGGCCTGCATTGATCATGCCAATCCAATATCCAGATCAATTTTGTCTCAGAGAGGATTGAGCGGCTAAAGCAGGCATGGCGAACCACATTCAAGCTCTTGGAGGAACTTGGTAGTAAGGGAAGCTCAAACAGCGTGCAGTCCACATTTGTCGATATTTGTCGATAGTGAACCCTAATGTTTCCTGAACAGCCACAAAATGTCTAAAACCCTTTATTTCTATGTGAGCAGCCACTTGAAGCGCAAACTATTTGGGGTGGGCCTTAGCGATCACATGCGATCACATAATTAGTTCATATATTTGTACAACATAAGGGTGCCTCCCAACAAAGCAAATTGGCGCTCATTTGCGATTCATCTAAGATGAATTGCAGCTTTCATCTATCAAGTTCTGTTGGAGGGTTGACATCTAATAGTTTCCGGCGCATGAAGAGCAACCTGGCACCATTCCGGCCTAGCGCTTGCTGCTGGGCGCTACTGCGGTAGTGCTGCGCCACTGCCCGCAGAGCGCTCACTAAGGCGTGCTCATCCTGATCCATGAGCATCTCCCGAAACCAGGGCCTTTCAGGTTCACTTTTGTGCGATGGTCTTCCCAAAAAAAAGAAATAACAAGCGTGAGAGGCGTGTCCTTCATGTTGGATGTATATACTTGGGAGGAACCTAATTATATCTCCTGCATGCGATTTCAAACATGTTCAGTAGCAAGTACAAGCTTGTCTAAAGACTCTTTTCAGCCAATGCCGGGCCAGGAGGCAATTCTTTGGATTGCAGTCTATTCTGTTCAAAACATTCCTCGTGAGACCGTCTTGATGGATTGGCAGGAATGTGAACTCTACCCCACTCGCGTCCAAATGAAGAAACAGATGGAACGAAGACACATACACAAGCAATCAAAGTTAAGCTGTCATCAAAGAAATCAAACTTAGACTGAGCTGCTTCACGGTCACCCATGTCTCAGCTGTTGGTGTTTGAGGCTTCTGTTTTTTGTGCAAATGCTCCGAGCTCCCAGCGCGAAGTTCTCCACGGAGCCGCCAGCCGCAATCCACCTCTCCAGCTTTCCATACTCCAACTGCCGCACCGAGGCCTTGGATCGAAGATGGATCTCTGAGAACTCGCCCCGTTCGTAGCTTCTTGTTCCTATTAACGATGCCAGGAGCCCCTGGCGTCCTTGCTCCTAGTAAGGCCAGGAGCCTAGTAGCTTCTTGTTCCTAGTAGCGTCCTCTACCCCCCCTGTGTCTCTCAGAATGAATCTGGTAGATTTGGGGGCGTGCCTCCCAAGGTTCTTCATTGACATGTTTTGGGGCGCCAGGGTTTCAAACGTGCCTGGTAGATTTGGGGGCCGTGCCAGGTCAAAATACATAAACCCACAGGTGCCCAAACAGCCCGCCTGAAACCCGAAACGTGTCGCTCACAGGCAAGCACCCAGACAGGTCCAAAAGAATCCCGACAGAGGTGCCCAAACAACCCTGCTGCCAGGCAAGCACCCAAATGAGTCCAAAACAAACCCCACAGAGGTTTAAACCCTATACCCCGGAAACAGCTCTAAAACAAAAAAGAACCTGCCGGGTGCAAAAAAAAGAAACAGCCCGAATGAATCTGTCAAACATAAAATTCCGGCAAGAAAAGGTAAACACCCTAGCCCTAGGTGAACAGCAGGTCAGCAGTTGCTCCACCAAATTTCGTCACTGAAAATTTTGCATGATAGCGTTTTGGGCTTCCTCCTCATCATCCTATCCCTATCCCGCAAAATGTCCGTACTACTACTCCAGCCTAGATGACTCCTAGATGCAAACTACTTAGTCATTCTTGGTGTAACAGTTTTATTAAAGTCTCATCGTCCCCTCTGATTGTAGAAGCGTTGCAATCCACAAGAATGAATGCTCATTCATCCCTTGCACGCCAAGTAGTCTCTCTCACAAGGCATTTTTGTTTTGGTGTGGATCATCGGCTAACTACGCTGCATAGGATCGCAAACAATCAGGGTGTGGCGGAACTTGAGAATCATCGTGCCCTTTCACAGGAATGTTACATGTTATTTCCCCAAGCCATATTTGTCGTAAGGGAGGTTGGTGGTGCTGGTACATCTTTTGAACTTGAGAGTGGGCTTTGTGGGGTTCCCTCCCACCATGCAGATCTCCAAAAAAACTCCACGAGACAAGCGCGCAAAATCTGTAATCGGCTGTGTGAGGCATCAGCTGTGTGAGGCCTTCAAGAGGCCTTCAAGAGGCAAAAGTGACTTTGAATATGCTGCAGCTGCATATGTTTTTTTGCTACTAGTAACAAGTGCATCGCTACTAGTAACAAGTGCCTTACTTTACTAGTAGTAACAATAAGCTAGTAGAAACAAGAAGCTTGTAATTAGTGCTCCAAACAAAAATGGACTTCGGCCTTCGGCCCCCCGACTTGAGAAGATACGAAAGCATCCTCACGTGGCTCAGAAATGCCACTCCTGGATGGACGGCTCATCGGTTGGGGGGTGGTGCTGAAACGAGCAGAAGATTTGACTATTCGGCCATCAGCCCCTGCAAGCTGTTCTTCAACTTCGGTGCTTCAACTCAAGTCCTACAAGACAGAGAAGCCAAGTCGCAAGCCGTGCATTCAAGAAAAATAGAACCATGCAAATGCAACCAGGCAATCAGGCTGGTGCAGCTCGTCTGATTGAGGAATGATACCAGGACATTTAAGTTCGGAGAGGTACTTTGATCTAGTCATCAGGCAGAGGAAGCTTTCCAAACAGTTAGGATGTATATAGGTCCGAGGTCCTGTTCAAAAACCAAAAGTATCTCAAAAACAATGCCAGCTTCACATCGGGATTAACTTATGCTATTCTCTTAGAGTTTGCTGCACATACTTGCTGCACATACTTCCAAATAAACGCATGGCTCAGGCTTTCTAAGCTCCAGACAGCACATCATCGTGCAGGGATGGAGAGCCCTGGCAGTTGAGTATTGGGGTATTGAGGTCCCATATCCCACCATAACCTGGTGCCTTGCAAAGCAGGTTTTTGAAAGGCACGTCTTGATGCCGATTTAGAAGGTTTGTGGTGTCGCTCGTGTGCAATACCAAGTGTTCTGCGTCACGGTTTCAGGTGAGTCTCCAACAAAATGTTCATCTTCATGCAAACAGTGGGGATTCGGATCATGGTACTCGTTTCTCACGAGTTGCAGGATCCAAATAAAGCCCCTGCTGAGCGGAAAGTTGTCTTGGCCTTGACTGAAAATGACTTCATTCCTTCATCCAAACCCTGCTGTTGTCAGGAGTGCCAGCCTCAGGAGAAGCGAAAAGTTCCACTGGCCTGGCCATTCTTGTGTGCACAATCCTCTGACAACCGCAGTAACTGACAACTTGGCAAGTCAACTTGCACAACTCGCATGAGAAGGTAGTTTAAATGCAAACATCATGAACACATAACCAGAAATTGCGATCTGGACACTGGCAGGTTGTCAATGACTGCATGTGTCTTTGGAAAAGCATATCGGTTTAACGTGTATTCAGTGAGATGGTACGAGATCTCAAAATGGAGTCTCATTCTCTTCGCCTTCCAGTGAGCTTGAGGGGAGTAGATATGGCAACATGAGAGTTAAACCATCCACATCAACCATCACTGGGATGCTCAGCTTACCGACCCGCTCACTGGGATGACCCAACCCCCGAATACCCTTTCTTTGTCACCTGAAGGCCGACGGGCTTGGACTTGCCGACGCTCCCCTGACAAGAAGGAACTGGTCTGAGATGTGTCACTGAGAAATCCGTTCTGCTTCCAAAAAGAAGGAGCGTTTTCTAGTATAAGTATATAAGTACTGCATAGGGGTTGCATATGTCTCATCTTTTTCGGTGTAGGTAAACCCAGTAAACAATCCGATTATACGGCTGGGTCGAGGCAAAAAGTCGGAAACATGCAGCATGGACACATTATCTTTCTGGATGGTTGCTTAGTGAAGGGAACTTCTTAAAGGTTACCTGCAGATTGACTGCTGATTGTGCTCCATCCACAAGTATCTGACTATCTGTGATCCGACATGAAGAAGTGGGCCTCACCAAGTTCGTGCTCATGCACTGCAAAAACAAATGTCTCAAAGACAAATCACACCCAACCCCATGAGAGGGAACTCCTGGAGTTTGGGCCGACCTCGGACCCCACGAACGGACCTGAGCTGCAAGGGAGACGCTGCGACTTCGGCTGTCCATCGGGCAAAGTCTTGGCTGAAGTCAATCTCCATGGCCTGGCGACAATCATGGTGGTTTAGAAGGGATAAATCGGGATAAACAAAAACATGATAAGATCTCTGTGAAAAGTGGGAGGGGAGGCAGGGGAAGGGGGAAGGCTTTTGGACAAACGGATGTGATTATGGCAATCAAAGTAAGTCCACACATGCATATCCACTATGTCACAGGCAAACCTTGCAAACACGGCGTTACAGGCCACTATAAACTTGGTGACTCCCAGGTCAGCTTGAGGAACCTCTCAAAATCGGGGTGCATTTCCCACAAGAATTGATGCTGAACAAATGTGTCAATCTGCAAGAAGCTCAATGTTCACTATGTCTTGGATCATTCAATAGCAGAAGTGTCATGCCACTTGCGGTAGGTGCCTGGGACCGGAAAGGACATCCTTACTTCCTTTCATCAATTGAATGATGCAAGTAGCCCCTCTATATAATTGTTTATATAGATAACCCTGAACCTCCTTCTGTGGAGGCCATCCACTTGCCTTCAGCCATCCATGTCAGATTGTTGGAGACAGACCAAAAAAACTGGGAGTGTCTGCTGTGCTGAAGAGCGAGTCAAGTAGCATGTCGTGTAGCATGATCTTGGCTCCAGAGTTTACCTGACGACTGCCATGGCTTGAAGATTGAAGCATTGCCGCTCTTCATGTTGAGCGTCCTAAGCTGAAAGGTGATGCACCAGCAGGCCAAAACCTCAATCTTCACGCAAATCCCCAAACCAAAGCAGTGTAACTTCCAACATACAGTTTCGTAACAACTTACAACGGCACATAAATAAGGTTGTCCTATTTTCTATATAGTGTGTGTGTATATAATATGCTGTACTTAGATCAACATCCCATTGTACAATTACCGTGTAATCCAAGTAAATAGTCGTGGCGCACACAAGTTCTGTGTCAATCCTGTGCTCCAGGTGTTCCTGACACCTTTCCTTCCGACATAACGAGCTCATCATCCGAATCTGCTCAGAGAGAGAGAGCTGCTTTGGCTCACTTGATTCTGAACATGATGCATCCCTTGATTCTGACTGCCCCATGGGCCCTTTTTGGGCTCACCATGGGAATCTGTAAAAGAAAACCTCAGACCACCATACTCCGGTCGAATTTTGTTTGTTGGGTGCAATTCGTAGCTAGTCGGTCTCTGACAGCTCCTGGTGCGCTCGAATATGGGGTGCTTGGAGGCTCAGCTCGGCAAGTTGCTCGATCAACTCCTCTGGTGCATCGCCTTCATCAACACGTCACAGCGACAACAGAATGAGGTTAAGACATGTTAAGACCAATAAAAGGAAAGTAGGATATGATGTTCACAGGGCCAGACACCAAGCATTTATCAAAGTCAAAGCCAGGTGTTTCACATCTTTGGCAAACGCACTCGGCAAGCACCCAAAACACAATCAAGAGCTAAATATATTTGTGGGCATATGTTAGTCTAGTTTCGGAGCGGACACCGTTGAGACTAACCTAGACGAAATTCTGATGTGCCATGGTGGGCCATGGTCTATGTTAGCCTCCACTGGGCTATGTTGACCTCTACCGGCGCGGTCTATGTTAGCCTGCGTTCAGTTTATAGTCAGATTGCAGTTGGTCCATGTTAGTGTCAGAATCGATCATAGACTGAGAGTGGGAACGGTCCATGTTAGTGAGTGTCCAGAAATTGGCCAAAAAAGCGCTAATACCGTTTCCCCAGGAAGTCACCGTTTCCAGTAGTCCATGTTAAAGCGCACTTGCATTTGAGTTCTGGTCTATGTTGTTTTTCCTCGGAGTAGCTAGATCATTTTTTGGCTGGACATACCCTTCGGTGTTCGGCGTATCTGAAACTATATGGACCACCAACGGTCACCGCCTAAAAGACACCGTGTCATGAACAAACGCTGGTCCAGTCGGGGAAAAAGCTCAAACTAAGTCTAGAAGTGCTTGTTCACAGCATTTTCGGCTCCCAATCCTGCCTTCATCCAAGGGCACTTTCTCTCCAAACAACCCTCCATGCATGGCAAGACGCAAAAGCACTTTTGCCCGACCATGAAACCCATCGAACAGCAAAGGCCGGTGTCCATCGTCGTCTCGTCCCAACAGGATCGGGGTCAAATACTGGTATGCTAGCCATGGTAATGCCAGGGAAAGGAATGAAAGCAGCCACACTGTAAAATTGGCATGACTGATGAGCACGGCAGTGCACAGCATGATCCAAGGAACGAACAAAAACACGATCACCACATACCCTAAACCAGCCTCGGCTAATAACTGATGTCCAAAGGCTTTGAGAAATATCGGGTAGTTCGCGCTGCTGACTCCAGACACTAGTAAGTGCAGAACATGCGATAGGCCAAAATGACAAATCATCATGCCGCTGAGGGCAGCGCTGAACATCAGAAATGCAAATTTTAACTTGTCCAACGGCCAGCCATCTGCATCCCAACCAATGCCTGCACAAACGCCTGTAGCTGTAGGAAGAACACCAGACAAGAGCAGCAAAGTCATGAGGTTGTAAGAATCCAGCTGCATGCAAAAAATGTCCTTGTATTCTTCTGGTTGCTTTCCGGAACTCATGAGGTGCTCGAACCAAACCTTGGAATTATACCGGGCATAAGCAAACAGCATGAACCCACATGTACATGCACACAAGGCGAGGTTCTGACTAAAGTGACGATTAAAAATAAACAATGACAAAGGCACAAAAGCACAAAGCTTTCCAGCAACACCACAAAAACATAAAAGCTTTCCAGCTGTCGATGCAGGAGGCCTTCTTGTGATCACACCAAACCACCCCGTCCAGCTTCGCCACCACCCGGGAAAACCTCGCCAGTGCGCTGGCAGAACGGGGGACTGGCAGAGCTGGACGCACCACTGGCGCTGGTGCCACATGAGGATTCGAAGGCGAAGTGGCATTCAGCGAAGAGACTAAACCTCATCTATGTGATTTTCAGGGAGCCCCAAAAAAGAAATCAAAAAAATTAACTTTGGGGCTGTTGGAAGAACAACTGGAAAAGCAAGAGCAGAAGAGAACAATCGTCGGCAAGGAAGGCACTTCTTCACTCCATCTGAATTTGCGGGGAGGATCTCTGGTCAAAAGGAAAACCTGAAATGATATAAGGGGGGAAAAAGTCTGGTCCATCTTGAAACCAGCCGCTGAGAATTCGAGCACGCTCCACGGCAGAAGCGATTCCCAGCTCTCTCCAACCTTCAGGTCCGCTAACAAACTGAGGGCTGAGTCACAAACTGCTTGACATTTGCATGCGATCCGGCCTTCTTCGCCCAAAAACAGAAGCATGCTCCCAGTCACTCGTCTGGCCCAAGCAGCTGCAGCCACCTGTAGTGGCGATTTCTAGAATTGGCCAGCTTACGAAGGTCTCAAGTACATCAGCTGCTTAGCTCTATCCATCAAGCCGCACAATCTCTTTTCGCACCTCTGGAAACCCGACGCTCGTCAGCCACGTCTTGACCTCCTGCGGTGACCTGTGCGAACTTTGTGGAGTCACCGGTTGTTACGGTTGTTACCTTTAGCACCGGTAAGGACGGGTAATGTGGAGTCAGCACCCAGGGTTGCTGATTTTATTACTTTGTGGAGTCAGCCAAGGTCTGTAGGTGGACGAATTGTTCAAACCTGGCCTTCATCGCCCGCCCCTCTTGCACCGTCAATTTCTGTGGGCTCGGGGTGGGGTCAAGCGGACAAAATAAATCAGCCCTGCGAGAACGACCATCAAAGAATGCCATCGCAACATTGAAATTAAGCGCGAGGCCACTGGATAGAGAGCATCTTGCTGGGTTTGAGTGCTTTGTCCATCTACTGTAACAATGTTGGCACCTGATCAAAACCCAGCTTTGAAGAATCTGGTTGATCTATCTACTCTAATTGTAGAAGTCCTTTAAGGTGCTTTCTTTCGGCAACAAGAAACCTGTGACAAACCCGTGACCATTGCAATTTGAGTGAAGTCTTTCATGAAGGTTCCTCTACAAGTAGCCTTTATCAAGATCTTCACTTGCCGTCCTAGATCTCCAGACTACGCCTTGCACTCGCAAGACTTTCCCCCCATTCTTGGTAAAGTCCTCCCTGTTATTGTCATGGGAGCAAAACGTGGAATCTCTGTGGCCTGCAAACACTGAGAGGTTGTCACTGGGTGTTCAGGGCTACCAGTGGAATGAAGTCGTGTCTCTGAAATCATTGGGCACAAAATACAATGTGTGTTCGCTGTTAGCTCAAGTCAGCCAACATGTGCCACTTGTGTCAGCTGCAATGTTCACATGAAATAGCGAATGTGTGGTTCATGCGGACGCTGTTTCAACGCCGGCTTGAGTTGTCGAAATCTGTCACTCGCGTCAGTCGCCTCCTTGGTGCTGAGTGCGATGCCTTGATAGCTACTGTTCCTGTTTGAGTAGCCAACATTGCCCCTCCCCTGTAGTAAATCCAGTCTCCACCGTTGCCCGAAGAAGCTTTTGCCAAGAAGCCACTCGGCGGAGGCAAAGCAAACGGGCGGCGAGGCAAACCCATTGCCGCGGCTCGGCAACATCTTGGAAACAACAAGGTCGACTGTCTGACTAGCTCTAGCTGCAACAAGCTGACTGAACATGTGGTCTAAAGGAGCAAGTTAAGACAGGAAATGAAAGGACTGGGTGACTGGAACACAAAACTCAGTCGCTCTATCATGGGATCTTTTCAAGATTCAGCGGCACCTGAGCACAAGAGAGGAGCCCGGTGAATTATATCAATTGGAAGTAAAAGGAAAAAACAGGCCAACCCGCGATGAATTTTGATGCCCGCTTGTTTGATCTCGTGGTGCTGAAATTAGCATATACTGTACTTGGTATCAAAACAAAAGACCTAACCTCAAGAACCTGTGGATCTCTTGACTTGTAATTCAACCAAAAGTTGCACAAAACCATACAGCGCTTAGTATTAGTAATCACACTTTGTGTTACCTTTCTTTATTCGTACCTACATGTTTGTCATTGTTTACCAATGGTTGCACAGTCACACTAACCAAAGAGCCAGGGAGGGGGAGGGAGAGAAGGGGAGAGATAAATGGATTAGATCTCACTATGTACAGTATAATATACAGTCTTGCATACTTCGGCCCTCTTCTTTTTTTAATGCCATCTTCCTGTTGGCACGGCCGCAAAGCCCTTGATGTTCTTGCTTCGACGCTGTACATCGTACACTATCTGTACTTGTCCATGATGGGCAGGCAAAAGTCCAGCCGTGAATGGCCATGCTCAGTAGAAGAACATCCAGCAGTTGTCCAAGGATTCAGGATTGAAGCAAAAGTGTCTGTCCCCAGCCAGTTCTGCAGGTCACTTTGATGAAACTGTGCCTGCTTTGCCACTGTATTGGTACTGCAATGGCCTCACTTGAGAAGCGGAGGCGGTGCCAATATTGGTACTGGGCAGCATGGAATCCACAAAAAAAAATCCAAAGCGCGTTCAAAAGCTCCATCAGCAAGTTGCTCGGATCTGAAATAGCAGGTCCAGCTCAACTCATCTTCAGGCGACTGCGAGCTTCAGCATGCTCACGATTCCGCCTGTGTTTGCATCAATCGGTTTCACCGTTTTTACCCCCTGCACTATGGTCAAACAGATCCTCTAGCAACTGCCCATTTATAGGAATGCCTCACTCAAGCTAGCTATAGGTGGTCCAGAGCCAACATGACCCAACCGGTCAATACTCAAAATACATATGTTTATGATCTTGGAATATTTATGACTGCATCCAATCCTGTCGGTTCTCAAGTGTGAATGGAGCGCTTCCCCCATTTCAAGTTGCTTGGTTCACTGGCGATCGGCCTCTGCACTTTCTCAAGCCACGTCTCCTCCCGCTCCATCTTCAACATTATCAGAACATCACCATCTGCAGAACCAGAACGTACCGTGAACAGCGGCTTCAAGCAAGAGAAAGAAGTGTGTCAAATTCGACGCTCTGAAGGTGCAAAAATACATACAGAATGGTCTGTCAATGAACAATGGAGGATAAGCTTTCTTATGCAGCGGCATACTCAGCATGAACTCTCTAACATCATCTGACATCTGCATGTTGACTCCTCGTCACCTGTTCAAACTTCAACTACACATGCACTGCCATCCATTCAGCAAGAATTTAACGCCTCCGACCTTTCAGAACTCTATGCTTTCCGTATGGATGTTTGATTCGTTTGAACACGCTGAGATGTGCAGCGCATCCCAATCCCTGTAATCTTGTGTGAGCTGCGTGAGCTGCAATCTTGCAGGATCTCGTGCCTTTCAGCTTCCTCAACGCCTCTGTCACATCCTCATCTAGGAGGCAGGGGAGCTCATATCCAGCATCCGCAACCTGTCTGGAAAATCGCGAGGCCTCACTGCCCGACCTTTATTTTGTATCACGCGAGAAAAGCATATACTAGTTCTTTGTTGTATTGATTGCTGTATTATTGCGAATGTGCATGTACACCCGAGCCAATGACCACGGTCGCTAGGGTCACTCAAAGTGTCCTGACCCTACCGACCCACACGTGTTGCAAAGAGCAGTTCTTCCAGTGGTCAAGAGTCCTGTCATGCCTTCCAGTTCACCAGACCACTTTGAGATCGCACCTGTTGCATGTAGCTCTCCAAGGAAATGGTTATGCCTAAGCCAAGCAGTTGTGTGCTTGGGGTGAGACCCAAAGAAGCGTCAGCCCTGCAAGAACTGCACAGGGCAACTGAAGCAAGAAAGACGCTATGCTCGGTGGAGGCCATCGCAAGTAGGTTGAAGGCCATCGCTACGAACGTAACAAGAAGCTACTATAAAAATTGAACACATCCTCTACTTGCCGGGGCTAATGCTTGACGTTTGGTCAATAGCTACGATTTCGCAATGTCTAGAGTCTAATTGCGCTTTCGTGTGCAGGACCCTGGGCTAGAGGCTAGCAACATCTTTTCTAATCAGTCGTCTACTCGCATGAACAACGTAACCGTATATACATATATTTAATTATATTTGTATTTTTGATGTGTAAAAGGCACCAAAAAAACCATCAACACCTTGCAGAACAACAGCCTTCCACCTGCCTTCGGCCTCCCTCAGCCTGCCTTCCACCTCTGACCTCCAAGCTGCGGTCCGGATCATGAGCCAAGCTGTGGAAGGGGTTGAAGTCGTGGCCTCTGAGTCTTTTCGACACAGTCCGACACAGTCGCAAATCAGTGCTAGCTGCTAAGCAGTCCCCCTTTCACCATGCATGGGATACAGGCGCTTTTTCTTGTGGGCCAACATGGGCCAACTATCGCGTCATTCTTGTGTGTGTGTGTTTAGATATGTCCATGTGTCTCTACATCCTCATGTCCACCGTTTGGTGGTATGTTGAGAAGTCGAAGCGCTTCACGGGGGGCACATCCTCATCTTAAACGCATCATCCTTCTGCTCGAGCTCTGGGTTTCAGTGCTCCAAACCCGCGTGGTGCTGCGCCAGTCTGGCCCTGCGCGTGGGATTTGAATGGATCCCATGGGACCTATACAGTCTTAAATAGCATACTGCTTGTGAGACATAAGTCACTGTTCAAAAGACCGCTAGGGAATCTTGGGCAGGACTCTGTTCAGACGCCCTTGAGCAGGCTTTCAGGCCCTTGAACTTTGATGCAACAAAGATGGCTGAAGGGATCTTTCAAGGCCCAAGCCATACAAGCGCGCCAAAAAGTCTCCAGGCTCCCTTGGCACTGGGGCCTCTGCGTCCACGTGAGAAACAGACTGCGGGCTCGGTCTGTCTGTCTGAAGCAATGTTTGCTTCAAATGGCTGTCTGTCTGAAGTATCCAAAGAGACAAAACAATCATGCTGTCTGTCTTCAATTACGACGGCTTAAGGTCCTCGCAGCTCTCACTATCCCTGTGCAGCTTCTTGGTTTGGGTTGTGTGTGTAGCAAATGAGCAGCTCGGAAAAGCTACCAAATCCAAACACGCTCACTTACATTATCTGCTCGGTGGTCTGACACAGTAGTCGTCAAAACGTCCTCTTGCTGCACACAAATGAACCCATTCACGCAGCATATCTGATCCTGCCTTCAAGCCGTGGAATTCCACCGAGCCTGGGGCACTGAGGTATGCGTCAATGGGTGTCTCTGTCTCTCTCTCTCTCTCCCTCCCTCCCTCCCTGGCTCCCTTGCTCCCCATCCTCTTCTCATATCTCTATACAAATACTACAGGCAGCTGCAGCTGAGTCCTGTGATTGGCATCATCCTATACTGTACATGAACAGCTTTTTGTCACCTCCGCTTCCCCCGGCGACCGGCTCAGAAAATCCCATTTGTTCCAACAGCCAGTGGCTCAAAGGGAAAACCTCCTCAGCGCCCGGGAAGTCCTTCTCGGGCATCAAAGGCTCCTGGAGAACATGGACTGATGGACCCAGTTAGCTTGTAAGTTGTCTGACGCAACACCTCAACATGAAGCCCAAACACATGATGAACCACCTACGCCTACACTGCGAATGACTGGTGACCGGTGATAGTGGTGACTGATCATGACTGTACATCCAGGTACTGCAGCGCAAGTAGGTTGTGCAGGACGAAATAGAAACCAAAAAGTATTCAATGCTCGACGCTATCTATATATTTCAATTGTATTGTTTCATTCACACACAGTGCATTTCATGTATCTCTCTGAGTCATATCTCTCTTGCATTTGGGCCGCCATTTGAAGTGTTTGACCAAAGCTCCTTTGAGTGATGTTGTGAAGCCCAACCAGCCAGGCAAAAAGGAGGGAAGATGCATCTCAAAGTGTACAATGGGAACATGAACAAACTACAAAGCGGATTGAACAGTGATTCGACCGGAGGGCCCGCACGAATTTCCTTTTGGGCCAAACGTGCCGCCGCGTGCCGCCCGGACGGAAGATCCACTAGTCACAGAGTCACTAGTGCAGGTCTGACTCCAAGCGGTCTGACTCCGGGAGTGACCATGTTCAGGCAGAAGTGGGTCTAGGAAATCGGTCTAGACGAGGGGGGCAGGCGCTTCATGGAGCACCAATCAATGACTACTAGTGTCTGAGACTGCCACGAACCCCCAGGGCCTGCAGGCTGTTCCCCTGCTGCCTTGAAAATGGCCAGAGTCGGTGGCATGACTGCACGGAGCCAAGGAGAGTCCAACGGCGCATCTTGCACAAAATTCTATAAACATACCCTCCTACACCTTCTGACACCAAGGAGCAATAGCTCAGTGAGAATGCGTAGTCTATTCATGGCAGCATATGAGCAGCATATGGTTCACGTTGCACGAAGCGGATGCGTTCTGATAAACTCCGTGTTGGAAGGCTGGAGGCCTGAGACCATCATCATGTATCCTACTCCTACAGATGTCCATGCGGCATCTTATCATCTCATTCTCTCAACGAAGATGGAGGAATCCTACACCACTTAAGGTGCAGGATTCACTTGGTCGGCGAACCCCTCAGCTGGTCAAGTTCGCACAGTCACTGCAAAAGTCCACGACGCAGACTTCGCACCGCCACAAATTCGTGAAGGCTTCAAAGTGCCGCTCGCAACCGTCGCACTGCCAGCCTGTGGTCGACATTGCGAGCAGTGTCACCATTTCTTTTTTCATGGATATGTCTCATGATGGAAAGAGACAACGAGGCTCTCTCACACGATCAGATTCAAATTCTGGGGTCACGATCGAGCCTTACTTTTGCCAAGGCGATGCTTTGTGCAAAGGAAGGTCTTGTGCAGAGTAGCAAAGCCGAAAACACAGAAAGCCTGAAACACAATCTTTATGTTGCGTTTGGAACCGGTTTGCTATGGTTTGTTCACTTGTTCCTTTCTGTTTGCCAAAACACGGGCTTTTGTGGAGCAAAGTGGCAGCTTGCACTAGGTTGTCGGTCCGTGAGTCTTTTTGGAGAAGGTTGACACTCCACATTGCTTTCAGAAATGGCAGTTTGAAGAATCTAGGAGTCCCTGCCCCAAATCATCGGAGATATGACTCTGACTCTTGTAAGTTCAACCAACCTTTTTTGAGCGTTAGACGGCGTTGAAAACTTCCTTGACAAACCCGCCTTGTGTGTACTTCTCTCCCAGGTTCGCGGCAGTTGCACGTTGCATGCGCAGCTGCTCAGAATGCTTGCATTCCAGAGCCTTATAGACCTGCAAGACTATGATAAACTGAACCTATCTCAAATCACTGGCAAATACAGCTTTGATCGAAGTGTGGTGTACCGGAGTGACTTTCTCTGGCACAACTAAATATCGACATGGTTCAAAACAAACTATAACGCGTCGAACCAACAGATCATGACTACGAACATCTCAGTAACCCCAGCAGTTGACCCAGTGTCTCTTTGACGAATTTCCACTGAAACAGACTACTGTGAGTGCCAAGTCTTCCCATGGGTCAATCCCTCTATCCTCCCATGACCATCTAGTAGCTCCACGATCTTAAATATTCCGGCAAGCTGTGTAAAAAAAGGAGAAAACACATTGATCTAATTATATCTATATAATTGAAGACCTGTCTGGCCGGGAGAAACGCCCGCCTGGGCTGTGCGCCCGAAGAAAGACAGAGCATTGCACTCAGACGACCCTGCAAGATGACGTCGCGACTCCTTGACATTCAAGATGCATTTTGAAGCATTATGAAACCTTGTTGTTCATCGATGTTCACAACAACCGTAAAAAGTATTTGCGGGTGGCTTAAAGCAACGCCTAAAACAAACAAAAATACAGTAGTTCCATGCTTCACTCAACCGTCTATTCAATCTGCATTCCCGTGCAACAGGGAAGAACAGGGCCCACGGGGGTCCTGCTTGAAAACAAACAATGGCTCTCAATCAAAGAAGCTGTTCACGAAAACAGGGAATCGGAGCAGTGACAGTCAACACTTATCAACCGATCCTTGTTCGAGCAAACCAGAAAAAGGCTGCTTCCATGGCTGATATTGGCGTCGCTCAAAGTCTTAAAGTCCTGCGACTGTCTAGCAGAACCAAACCAGAAAGACTAGCCAGCCCGCATCAACATATTGAAAGTAAAACCGCAAGTCATCTAAATCTAAGTTTCCTGAATCAACCAGCCCTTCTTTCAGAGACACCTTACAATGTTTCGACCTTGTTTTGAGTTCAACGAAACCAAGAGAGTACAGATTGAATGTGCTTCTCACAGAACATATTATTGATTGTTTTTTGGATGATTTTTTCACACTTCACGTTGCTTGATGTGGGAACCCTGTCCATCTCAGGATGCAGGATTTGCTGCCTCACCACGAGCTGACAAGATCGGAAGGGCACGCCAAAAGCATCTGCCACAGCACGCCGAAGGTGTGCCAACAAGGATGTGGAGAAGAAGCCGCTGAGTTCCTCTGAGCAAATCACTTTACTTGGAGTGAACTCCACCCTGAAAGGCGATTTGGAAGACATCAAGTCTGGCTTGCGCCCTGACACATCATCTACCACAAAGGCTGGGAAATGTTTGGGACTGTGTTGACGTCCTTCTTGGCGTGTGTTCTGACACTTTTCTTGCTGCGAAGTCTGACATGTGCTGTGACATACGGTCCGACTTATGTGTTCCGAGACATGTATTTCATCAAAGAAAGTGTCCATCTTGCATATATATATATATATATCCTCGCATTCTATCTTGCAAATTCTGGCATGCCATACGCTCATGCATTCTATCTGGCATGCAACCCTATCTGGCAAACACTCTGGCATACATTATTGGTTCTATCTGGCACAAATTCTGCCATTCAGTTACTCTGGCATTCTATCTGGCATACATGCTGACATTCTTACCTATCTGTTATATACTGGCACTCTCCTGGCAAGTTACAATTTGACACTCTATCTGGCAAATGCCCTGCCACTGTATCTGCCATGTACAGGCATTCTACTTGGCATCTGTTCTGGCATTCAATGGCATTCTGGCATTCTATTTGGGATGTGTTCTGGCATGCTTCCCTGGCAGTCTATCTGGCATATATTCTGTATTACTCTGGCAAAATTGCTGTCATTCTATCTGGCATACATTCTGGCATTCTGTCTTGCATACACTGATATATATTCTGGTGTTGCACCTGGCATATACTCTGGCTTCTATCTGGCACTTAGTCCGGCAATATCTTGCATATATTCTGGCATCCTATTTGGCATAGTTGTTGGCATTGTATCTGTCATATGATCTGGCAGGGCAGTCTATCTGGGCAGGGCCGGCAGTGCCCACTATGATCGAGCACTGGCGGTTGAGGCCCCAGTGCCCACTGCGATCCAGCACTTGCAGTTAAGGTCCGGTGGAGGAGCAGGAGGAGAAGGAGGAGGAGATCTTTGATAAAATCTAGCAGCTGGCAAGTGGGGAAATATAATAGAAACGGAAGGTGAGGACCCCTTATTGAGTAAGACCATTTTCAAAAGGGCCTTGTTGAACAAACCCTTGCCCTCCTGGTGTTCCTTTGATCTGTGTTGTATGAACTTTCGAGAGGTCTATGAGTATATGACAAGATTCTGGCGTAAAGGGTAATGCTTTGATGATTTAAGAAGATGCTGCCAAAGGTCTTGAGGGTATCATGATCTTCTTCAGAACAACTTTATAGTTGGAACACCGCCCATAACGGGCCGTGGTACTTTGTGCCATTTTTGGACACTGTCATCGATTTCGCAACAATTTCAGGGACGCAATTGGTAGGCTCATGACGGTGGGTATCTAAAGTCTTCTGTTGTTCTGTTGTGAAGACGGATTATCTTCGCGTCATGTCTACGTAACTGGAAGACATCGTTGTCTACGATGCGTGAAGAAAGTGTAGTGTAGTTGATGCACCTTAAAAGGAAGAATCTGTGCGCCATGGTCCCTACGGGGTGGGGGGTGGGGTGGGGATGGGCTGGGGTGCAATAACGCTCGGTATCTAATTAATGTCTTCTGTTGTTAAAAGACGGATGATCTTCGCGTCATGTCTATGTAAATTGAAGACATCGTTGTCTACGATGCATGAGGAAAGTGTAGCTGATGCACGTAAGAAGAATGAAATGGATCTTGTGTGGCAATAGATCTCAAACAAACAATGGATTTCATAAACCTAAAAGCTTCCAAAACCTCGATAGTTGGGGGCAACTTAAATTGACTGTTGAAGTGTCAATTCTACTGGGAAGTGCACAGGAGAATTGTTCCCCAATTTAAATACGCCATTAATTCAATCCGTTAAAACGATGAACGAACCTTCCCCAAGCTAATTACGCGCATTCAATTCATTTTCCTGATCAGAATTGCCGTTTCGTACCACGGCCCCTTATGGGCGGTGAACGTAGTAGTTAGTAATACTGTAATTTAAATTGGATGATTTGATCTGATAGAACTTGACGTGCCCAACTTGATGCTTCCTTACATCTATGGTGTCCCACCACACCTTGGTCTGGCCCGACATCGAGCTCACTGTCACTGCCATCGGCCCACGCCGCTGACTCCGCCAAGCTTTCGCGACGGCCTCGCGCTGGTGGTGCACCAGGTAGTGGCGCACATGATCCTGGCTGAGGTCTTGTACAATGTCTCAGGCTGGAGTTACCACACGCTTCAGTCCAAACGGAAAGCGGTCGAACTCGGTTGGGAGGTCGTTGGATGCTTATGAACTTGTGAGAGTTTGACAGACCATGTTCAGCATCTGAGCTACTGTCTACCAAAGCTTAACATCTGGCAATGTTCAAACAATTAGAACATTTCGAATCATACAGATTAACCATGTCGGTCTGGCTGCAAAATATCACCTATCAAAAGTCCAAGTGACTAGTAGCATTCACCAGCATAGACCGATGAATCTGACCTGCAATGGGGTGCCATTTGATCCTTTGAGCCTTCTGAGCCTTCGACTGACACCAATGATGCATGACCTCGGGTCACCGGGTCCTGGTCACTGCTGCGCAGTTGGCGCCAAGCAATCTGCGCAAAGATCGCCCAGGGCAACGGCAGCAAAACCATGCCAAGGAAACACATCAAATAGAAGGCAAAGCGGCCGGACTCGGGGTGCCTAGGCATCTTGGAACAATAGTTCTTCTGTGTTCTTGACTCACGCGAACGTAAGGGCTGCAGAAAGCATCTAATGAACATTATGCAAGTATATACTTGATTTGTCTTGATTTGTCACATCCACCCACAGCAGGGTCATTGAGGAATCACTCGGCTGTCTCCTATGTTTGGGGGTTTTGCCAAACCTGACTCAAACCTCAAGACTCAACACAATTCTCAGGATCTATGCATGCTGCAGTTCAGGCACAGAATGTAGACCAAAGGAAGATCATGTAAGGCTTTGACCTGCTCTACCACAGCACACGGCACACAGTGATCTCCTTCAACCCGGTAGCCCACTGGACAACAACAGCCTCCTCCACGGCAAGGTTCATAGCCCAATGACTGGCATTTCGAGGATAAATAGCCCGGCAAGTGCTGCTGGCTGCAGCGCAAGAGCTGTTTGGGGAACTGCTGTAAAATCACTTCATCAATGGCCCTCTGATAGTCTTTGCGGGTGCCCAGCCACCACCAGAAATGCCCGGTGCCACTGATCACTCCCTTCGAGGTCATGACATTGCGTGGAGGGAAGCCTGTCTGTACTGCCCAAGCCACAGGCCGGCGATCAGTGCTTTCGTTCATGGAGAGATACCTTGGTGCATCGGTGGTCTGAGACTGCTTGGAAATGACATCAATATCTCAAGATAGCCTAAGGCCTAAGCCAATAGGTCCAATAGGTTGAATATGAATAAGCCGCATGAATAAGCGATCAGCTTCATGCCAGCTTCTGCCTAACGGTTTAAAGATGAACTCAGATGCAATGGCGCAGCATAGAGGCAGGTGATGGAACAGGAGCCACTGCCGATATCCCCCCAGTCATCGAACTCCCACAAGGGGACCGAGAGCCTTGGAAGCCTAGCAGAGGGGTAGGATGCCGTGACGGTGTCCAATGGTGCTATACCATGGTGAACCAATAAGTGCTTGAACCGAGTTCATGATCTCTGCAGCAAAAGAACGAACACATCCAAACACCGATACATCTTTTTCGTGTCCAGCTTGGCCTTGCAGCGCTGCGGCAATCCTTGGCCACGCATTGTTGAGCAGTGCAGTCGCTGCAGTGTGGGGCTGCACCCACTTGGATCTGGTCTATGGCAGCGTCTTCCAAGTGCACTAGTCCCAGCTGATCTGCATGGACCTTTGCAAAGAAATCAATACATCCCAAACGTCATGTTTGACCGCAACACTTTCGCACCTCTTCGGATATCGATTTGGATGGAGCACTGAAGGCCATCCAATGGCACAAATTTGTTTTGCACATGTAATTAGTGGTTTCAAGGTATAAGGGGGGCGACATATCGACCAACATTGCCTCTGCGAACTTGCTCAAGCTCAAGCGCACGTGCGGGTGCAAAAGGTTGTATGCGTAGACTGGACCATCTGAGCAAGAAGCGGTCCTGACGAGGATGGCCCATGGACCCCAAACTCAAGGAGCTGGCAAGAGTTTTCTGCGTCTTACCAGATCAGACCATGTTCACCCCCTTGCTGAGCCGTGGGCAAGGAATTGATTGCCGGGGGCGGTTACCCAATCTTTGGCTGCCACTCTGGCATAGAGGCAGGACAGTAACTACTCCAAATCACGCTGGTGCATGTTGAAAATGCCTCATGCACGAAGCCAGGACAAAGGCCCTGAGTGAAAAATGTGACGAATGCTTAACATCATCCCACCCGCCAAGTGAAGAAATAAATAAGATCAGTGTTGTCAACAAAGGTTTATAACCAGCGCATACAAGCGCCTTGACAGAATGAATACCTTTCGCCAGGTCTCAATACCAAGGCTGAAAGGCAAAGGCAGCCGACCACCCAGCGCCCACGGTCCAAAGAATGCAGCGGGTGGTCCATTCTCTGGAAAAATGCTGGGGCGATGCCTGGGCAGGCTGGCAGAGCAGGGTGAGGGTTGTTTGTTCATATTGTTTCAGAAAGCATTGACATGACATCATACTGAGTTAAGATAGCCAAGATTGATGTCAACAGGGAACATGTACGAACATGTTGTTGCACGTTCGTTTTCGATCCGACAGTTGCGATACCTGCTCGGAATGCCAGGATCAGCGCAGCGCTGATAGCCACAAGCTGGAAGCGTTCCCCAAGGAACTCCAGAAAGAAGTACTGCATCACACACAAGATGATGGCGGGCAGAACCGCACCCGACATGAGAAGCAGGTTCTGATCGAAGGTCAAGGCAAGGCGTGACATGGCGGTCACATCCATCGTGGCAAGTCGTGTCTCGGCCATCGGCTCTTTGTCCGAATTCTTTGTCCGATCTAAGCAACGCAGGCTGGCACCTTCAGCCAAACATTAGTAGAGTCAAATTCACTTCCTCCGCTATTATTTTCCTGTGGTTGCTTCACATTCTGTTGCATGTGAAGGGGTGGTTCAGTGTCCCCTAATAACTCTTGTGCGAAAGAAGGACTTTTGTTTGTCCTCACGGAGGAAAATGTCCAACTCCACCTCGCAGTTGTCCTTCTCCGAAGCCCTAGCGGTCAAGGATTCTCGACTAAAACAAGTGAACCCTAGCAGGACTTGCCGACCCCAAAGTGGGAAATGGGACAGGAGCACCAACAGGGTTGACATTCCTCGTGCGTTGATGCTCACTTGCATTCGATCGCTTTCATCATCTGAGTCAATATGGACCTGACCAGCCCTGCAAGCCCTGCTCGCCATTGCCTGAGCCCCACATGGACAACATCTGTGATTTTCCAGCCTTGGCAGCTCATGCTGGTCAGGCTGTCCCAGGTTTACACCGTTCTGAAAGTTTCTGGCACAACATAGGGTTCCCGGGAGGGTTTTCGGATGCGCCATCAATGTATTTGTCCTCGCTATTTTGCACATGTAGATGGCACATTTATAGGGAGAGGGGGGTGCAAAAATGCAAACACAAGAAAAAATGAGCTTGCAAAAACAGGTGAAAAAAAACACGCTATAGATGGCACAATGCTACTCTTTCTCCTGCCGTTCCTTTCTCTTTCTCTTTCTCTCTCTGCACAAAAAGATTCAGCTAATGTAATTCTGCTTCTGCTTTCTACAGTAACTGGAGTCTCTTGCTTCCTAGCTCTTGCACATGCTGCCAGCATGTAATTTTTCCCAAATCCCAGCGTTTGACGCCAGATACAACAGCTGCAGGAATCTGTACATTGACGGAGCTTTGTAAATGGCGGTACGAGCAGCCGGTGATGCCACACTACAACAACTTTCTTCTATCATCCATAATTTGGGATTCAGTATTGTACTTGTGGGCTGGGTGCTTGGGTTTGTTTGTGTGTTCACTCTGGTTGAAAATGCAAACAAATGATATGTTAGGTCTGGAGGGTCTTTTAGTGGCATTGTGCTCCTATATACTATTTGCAGTATTCCAAATTCTTCCACGCCAAGAGGCCTCAGGATTCTGTACACTTAGCTGAGAGGCCTACCGATGGAAGTATGTGGACCAAACCTCAAACATCCAACTAACAAAAAGAAAGAACACACGACAATTGATGGCGCAATATCAAGACCATTTACAAGACTGGATAGGTCCAGGCTGTCCCAGGTTTACAGTACGTCAAAGTCATACAGTCATACAGGTTGGTGGAACCAGATCTGGGGAAGAAGGTCTACGTTCACCATGTTGACCTGTCTACCATTGTCTACCTAACACAATAGGGACAGTAACTGGTAACAGGTCCTTGCCCCCCTAGTCCATACATTTTTTTTCCGATGAACCGACAAATGGGATTCATCAGCCCACCGTTTCAGATGCGCCTTTTCCCGCGCCGTTCCGATCATCGACAGGCTGTGCCACACATGCCACGGTCTGAGGATGTCTCAGGCTGCCGACCGACGGCACCGCACCGCCCCCCGTCGACTGGACGCCCCCCACGGCCGCCACGGCGAAAGAGCAACATGGGATGATCGAAGGCGGCCTGGGCGTTCCCAGACGGATCGCAAACGGACGACCAGACGGTCAGGATGACCAGGGCCTTCGGAAATAGGGATTGTTGGGTGATCCACCGAAAGGACCCCGGGCCCCGTGATTCTTTAGATCAGCTCTCTCGAAAGATGCTTGTTTTCCATGTGCGACCTTTTCGAGAACTCACAATGTATTTCCCAAAAGCGGCCCTTCACCAGAACCTGATAGGGGCCCGCTTCTAAATCTCCTTGTAGTTCAAGCACGTTATCCAATGCCACCCATTCTCTGCTTGGTTGATTCAGATTCCAGAACCATCAACAATGGTGTACTGTGGGAGACCCAACATGTTCGGCAGGTCTTTCGCAGCAATGAGACAGATCTGCTTTATGTGTTCGCAAATATATGATCCTACCTACTAGTTGGAATTGTTTTGCAGCATTTAATTATCGTCTTTGGACGCAAGTCAAAACATGCGGTGCTTGAATTGGATATTCTTGAAATTCTGAAGGTGGTGTGCAACCAAGCTGGAAGCTTGGTTCGCGAGAAGACATGAACTTTCGCTGGCTCCTCTCCTAATCTTCCATGGACCTCCTAATAAGACTCTGTGAAGCATGTCAAACCTTAAAACTTCTCAGTTGGACTCAGACAATTGGCTTGAGATGAGGTGGTAGTCCTAAGATGAAACCATGGCGATGGCTGTAAAAATCCACTCTGCCATTGATAGTATCAATTCATGAAATCCACAAGTAGCAGCTACTTGCAAGTGGCTGCAAGTGGCTGCAAGTGACTGCAAAATGGAAACTCAAAATGCGCACCTCCTGCGACCTCAATAACAAGAAGCTACTAGGAACAAGTGCCTTACTAGTAGTAACAGGTGCCTTACTAGTAGTAACAAGAAGCTAGTAAAAACTGTCCTTCAGTTCTCCTCTGTCTAAGACGTCGGAAAGAGTCCCATCCATGAACCCCCGTGTAATGGAAGCGCTTAGCACCCGCCACTGCCTCCATCTTTGCTAGGTCAGCACTTAAAGCCTCTAGGTCCTGAGCCAGTGGATGAGTCTGAAGTATGAGGATGTCAGGGGTAGAGGTCAGCAGCCACAATCCAAATCCTGTGGGATGTTCATTCAGTTTCAGTTTCACGTTGAATGTCTAAATTGAGAAAAGAAAAATGCCTTTTCTTTGTTTCAGTAGGCTGCCACCGTTCAGAGCAGGCGGCCCGTCTGCTAAAGGGTGGTCATGCTTTCGGAGACCGTTTAGCGCAAAACATGCGAGTTGTTTAGCTGCTTTAAATAAATACATGAATTGTTGTCCAACGATTGCCAAAAATTCATTGCAACAAACCTGCAAATTCTGGAAAACCTAGAGCCCAGTTAGGATTACCAGTGCGAGCCAAGCCCTAATAGCCTAATAGCGAGAATTGACGCAACTGTCGCCAATTTATAAAGCCTTGCTGGGCTAGCGTTCTCACTGCACCAAAGGAAGTGCAAAACAAGAATGCGAGAAGCTGTCATGACTCCTGCAAGCTCTGTTGCACAAACTCTAAGGTGACATCCAGACAATGGATC